AAATCGTGACATCTTCACGTCTCCCAGCATGGTAAATCGTCACATGTTCACATCTTGCCGTGATACCGGGTTGCTTTAAACATAGTCATATTTCAAACAACTTCAAAAAGGGGACTTTCTTAGTGCTGAAATATAATTAAGTATCCTCCCACTGTCCCATCGGCCTCATTAATGATTACTTTTCCCCTGCCTCAGTTATCCCTCTCAAATTAACTATTCATAAGCCCTGTAATTATTAACAATATGTTTTGGTCTAATCTCTCTGTAGATTAAGGGACTTTTGTAAGAGCCCTATTGAGGGCTTGTTGCTATGCTCCTTTGTACATTAGCAACACCAACTGTCTATCAGCAGAATAGATGGCAAAGGCGGCAGGAAGTGGATCCCAGCGCTGGGATGCTCATGCTTGTTAACTAACCTGTGCATTATATTTTATATAACAATACAGAGAACCACTCACAAATACATTGAGCCAAATCTATAGTGTTAAAAGTGTCCACGGTGTACCTTAAAACTTCTTCTTTATGTATAAATTGTTGTTTGAAACAGAGGAAATGTATTATAAAAGGGCCACAGAAATGCTTTCCATTCACACCTTCACACAAGCAAGATAAAGAAGGACAAAGACATCCTATTGTATGCTCTTTGAAAGGATGAATACTTTGAAGGTCTTTTCAATTTAGAAAATGTGTCATTGAAACATAATGCAGCTAATACATATGGAAAAAGAGTAGGGAGACATTGTAAGTCAATTGGGGCATTCACACCAAGTTCTTTTCCCACAATAGTTCATGAGAACTCTTTTAGTTCTGATGAACTAAAGCAGATCGCGTTCACACCGCAATGAGTTCCTGGGGGTGGATTAGGCAAATGAAGCCGCTGACGTCACTTCTTCTTCTTCTGCTTTGAGTTTAATGGCAGGCCGCAAACAACTTCACGGTGTATACTGCCACTCGAAGTCCCCGGCCGGAAGTCCCCGGAGTTGGGGACTGGCTTCAGTAGAAGCTGCTGGGACTCCCAGCAGCTTCTACTGAAGCCTTCCGAGTAAATCGCCAGAACGCCGACACTCATCTCCACCGCTCCCATGTTTTATTTTGTGTTGCCATAAGTTAGTCTCTCTGCGTTTGTGTGCTGGGCTAATGCTAATGCTAATAATGCTAATGCGAGGATAATAAAATGGCGGCTTCACAAAACATTTTGGGAGTTTTACGGGGCGTGGTTTGCATTCCGCCCAGCCAATCAGACATAGGAACCTTTTTCTCCCACGAAAGTCCCTGCTCTCTAGCAGGGACTGAAAAGGGGGTAAAAATGGTTCTGATTAACTAATTTAGTTCAGGGGGCTTTTTGGTGTGAACGCAAATATATCTGAGTTCTGATTAACTATTGTGGGAAAAGTACTCCGGTGTGAACGCGCCAAGTGTTACTTCTTGAAAGCAGTAAAAATCAGGTCAGGGGTGACTTCTGCATCTGTCATTGTGTCCTGAATTGACCTTGACAGAGATGTAACCTGCCTAGCTAGCAAAACATGTCCTTGAGGGAACTTCCTAGTTTTGCAGTCATCACACACCAGTACAACAATTAATCTGCCACCTTTGATATTTAGCCTTTTGGACGCACTGAACCCTGGGGATACTGTTTATCAAATTTCTGCATAAACATAAATAGTGGAAAAACTCCTATGCCCTCATCATCTGCCTCACCACACCTCAGAGTGGTCCCATTTCACAAATTGTTATGCAAATATTCATAATCTAGCATGCTGAGAAGAAGGTTGCTGGGTTTCATTAAGCCCCTTTGAAATGCCGTTTCCCTGTGTGCATCCGAGAACTGGGGACTTCCTTTTTATGAATATTTCTATATATCCATGTGGAGATGGAGATAGATTTTGAAAATGCCAAAGTAAAAGGCACGTTGGAAAACAATGTGTTGTGTGTTGAACATGGCACATTCAGTGTACAAAATCCAATCAATAAGGATCTGTAAAACGGTAATTGTAACTGGCAACGTGTGGGAAAGAGAGACAGACAGAAAAAGAGACAAAGACCACCTGTCAGTTTCCCCTCCAGCATTAACTTGTCCTTCTTGTCAACACTGAATGAGCACCTTGTCACAGAGGAACTAATTAAGATGCCAACTTGCACTACTGTACAGCTCTGCTTCTGTTTCACTGCTGTCCCATTTGCATTTCAGAGAGGTAATTCAGTAATTCAGTTTGAAGGCAGTAATTCAGCAGACAAATCCCTGTTTCTCAGCAGCACGCCCACGTTAGCTTACCTACAGGCTTTGAAAAAACAGTTCTTCTCATCTTCATTTCAGGACCATAACCTCATTTCCACAGTGCTTCTGCAGTCAAGTGACTCAAATCTTAAAATGTATGTACAGTAAAAGATCCACACATTTATCCGCCCCCTTGTTTTCATCAGGGCCGCCTGAAAAGGCAATTACTTTATCCCCATGAAGACATCATGCAGTTTTTATGAAAAGAAAAGCTAAATATTACTAGTATGGATCTTTCATCTTTTCAGGCTTTTCACCTTCAATATTTGTTGGACCTGACAATAATTATCTTGTTATACCACTGGGCCAAGGTTTCCATTTCTGAAGCAAGTTGTTTCCATTGTGCACGGAGAGCAGACTGACAGCAGTAATGATGTGGCATTACCCTGCCTGCGTGTGCACAGCCGGCTAATGAGCACACAAGCAATGCTGTTTCCATCCGCCCACCTTCAAAATCTGACCACAAGTAGCTGAAGAGGTGGGTTTAGCCTCAAAGGTCTCAATTGTTGCCCTACTTTAACTGCATTAACTGACATCTGAGAAACACAGACTAAAATCCCAAATATACAAAAATAAGAAGGTTAAACATTACAAAATGTTATGCTGCTTTTCTGATTCTGAGAAAGAACTGTTTACACATAATTTATATTAAACTACAAATGCTGAGCAGATTTACTTTAGCTTGTCATAGAGTTACACAGTTGAGCTTGACATTAACGTCATCTGTTTGAGACATTACTGTTACATTCACTTCATTTTAAATATGTAATTTCCCAATGGCCAGAAGTTAACCAGGCTCACAACTAAATCCTGTTGCAAATGCAAACTGTACACCAGGGACATTTTCTGTAGTGTTTGCCTGTTTGTAGCACTTCTAGTATTCCTCCATGGTCCAAAGTCCAAACCAATAAACATTTGTTTTATGCAGAGACCAAATGGGGTTTATTAATATAACATGCACTGCTGAATGGAAAACCTAAACTTTGCATCCCTTTCTCAGAGTTGTTTACATTGCCTACAGTAGCCTACATCTTTGAATAATTGTACATGTCTGGATTCTGCACTTTGAAACTTTTGCACTGACAGTTAAAAAAAAAAACTCCTGCACTTCATGTGAGATATTAAACCATCTGACAATGGTCACGTGCTACTGTATGTCAAAAAACATCAAAGGGGAGTGGAATGCATTTTAGTATTAGGTTTTCTCATAGCCTCAGACTGACTTCGATGAATCCCTCACTGATGCCTCAAACATAAATCAGGCAGGAGTCCCAGATATGTCAGATAATCCCAGATCTGTCCTAAGGGAATTGGCTCAAGTAAAAAAGGAGGTAAAGGCAAATCTCATTATATAATGAAATGTTGGGTAAGGTAAAATAGGATAATCGGTTGTTTTTCATGTGTGCTCTTTTGGTGGTGTTTTCTGAAGGCTATGTTACTTTTATTGTGTTAGCTAGCATAAAGAGTGTGCTTTTATTTTGAAAGAGTAATGCCGGTAAAAAACGGCAGGTGTGCCTTTCAATATAAAGTTTTGTTTTGTGTTGTTTAGCTCCAGGCCGATAAAGTCACAAGGTTTACTGATATTTCGTTACATATGGTGATCAATGTGGCTATCTATTTTGGGAGTTTGGCTTATTTGGGGGAGCGTGGCAGAGCTAGCAAGGATGCCATGTTGGCTTAATGTAACGTTGCCTAATTTCATGCTAGCCCTCCTTGGTTTTGCTACGTGGTCTGAAGAAATGCTACAATGAAGTTTATTGTCAAGAAAGAAGTGTTTATATTTGTTTTCCTTCTTTTAAGCCCTTCCGTTGGGTTCACGGCATGATTTTGGAGTATTATCCAAAGGCTTTTCAGTTGGAGAGATGTTAGTCCTCCTCAGCCAAGGATGCTACATGGTTATCAATCATCAAGCGGCCAAAGATAAGGTGCCATATGGGTGGATCACCAAAACACAAGCTAATGATGTTAAAGGTAAGAGCAAACCTCCTTTTAGCTACCAAAACTGTCCAATTCTGTGAATGTGAGACTGACTGACTAAAAGGAAAATATATATATTGCATTATAGCTAACTAACATTACCTAACACACAGACAGTCATCTACCAGGAATCAGCCATGAATGTATTCTACAATTATACTAACGTGTCGTTCTTTTTAAAACTCTAAACGCTTTGTATGTAGTTATACTGTATGAACTATAACATGAAATACTCGCAGCTAAATAAGCAACTATCAAAGTTAAAGTTTGTTGAAAGAAAACATTTACATCAAACAATACAAATTGTGAATCTCTTGATTATTTTGTTGTTTGATTTTAAAGTGGCTTTGTTTAGAGTTAAAAATAAGAAAGACAGAAGAAGAAAGAGATAGCTTGGAGCACTGCTTAAGAACAAGGTAATCTAGTAATCAGAGTAAATCTACACCAAATAACACCTTCTAGCCTAATAAATGTATTTAATGTTAGGGTCTATACAGTTTTATCACAACTACTAAATGTAGCTGTGTTACATCTTAATATATTGACTCTATGAGACAGGTGCATTTCCACATAGCAATCTGGCCTTCTGTCCATCTGAAGATGAAAATGACAGCGACACCGTGAGGCCACTGGGGATGGGAGAGATGGAGGAGGAGTGTGGGTGCGCACAGCTAGAGTTTGTTGCACGGGCAGTGGAGCAGCGGTAACCGATCCCAGCTGCTGCCGTGGGGGGAATTAGAGCTATTCCAGTCCCCCTTGGGTTGGTCACGTGTCCTTGGGGAGCGTTTAGATTTGGCACCACGTTCGGAGAAGGAGGAAGCGCACCGTTGCGCACATCCGAGTTGGACAGCAACATCTTAAACACGCGTTAATGGTCCGGCGGCGAATCAAGCAGATCAGTTTTGTTTAGGGGCGTAGTCCTAATCACTCCACGGTGGTGTGTGAAACAGCACAGCACAGACACAACGTGTGTGTGATCGATCTGTCTCTGACTCCTCAAAAACTTCTGCGCTTTCCAACTGTGATCCGCGGCACATTGTTGCCCGCCACTGCTACAAGTCGACGTACGGAGCTGTCACGGTGAACCGAGGTAGGCTGAGCTTCTTTCCTTTTGGGTTTTTAGGGAACAGGCAGAGTAACGTGCAAACTGTTTAAATAAAAACACTGTTAGTTGCTTAATGTGCAAGGCTGTTGAATGGATACGGGATTTGCAAAATGATTATCAATCATATCAGCTTGAACGAGAAGCTTGCACGTGCAGAAAGAGGCAAAAATGAAAACAATAAGTGTGGACTGGGAATTTGGAAAACAAGTGAGAGAGCAAAGGTGGTCTGCAATTCTCGTGTGTAATAAGTCAGCATTACATCATGAACTTAATATTCATTCATTAGTATTTCAAAATGGCACACACATGCTTGGTGAAAACTGAAGAGCCCCAAAACTACTCTAGGCATATTTAATTGTTGTATCTGGATAATGTTGCTTTAAGGTTGCTTTCTTGTGTGATATCTATTTTGTTAAACTGTGCTCTATAAGTTTGAAGCTTGCTGAAAGTATGTTTATGTTTCCAGCAACCATAAGTCCAAACTTAGTGTAGTAGTACTGAAAGATCATATAGGGACTGACCTGAACTTCTCCCAACCACGCCCCTGATGCCAGCCAGAGTCAGGCACAGTATAGTAGATAGTATTCTAGGTGAAAAAAAATGGAAACAGCCATTATAGGAAATTGGCCTTCAAAGTTATGAATGTGTTTTTGTTTTTCATTCTTCGTGTGAGAAACAGAATATCACTGCTACAGTGTATAGGTATACTGAGCGAGATACAATAGAGTGAAGCACATCACCACGAACTCACAAATGCAATCCAATAGTGTCCCTGAAAAGTCCCCATAGCCATATTGCATGATTTTGGAGCACTGGCAGTATGTCCGCATGGTTATTGTCGAGACAGAGCTTCAGGTGACAGGCACTGTGTGTCCAGAAAGCAGAGTGTAAAGTGTCAGCTCCACATCAATAATGCAGGTTGCCTAAACAACGAGAGCAAGAAAGTGGACTCCAGTGTTGTGCCCTGCCTGTCCCTTTCTCTAAATTTGCTATTCAACACTACTAAATAACAAATTACGTGTTAAAATAAATAGTAATTATTACCAAAATAAACTAATTTAGTCCAGATGATCATGACACACATATGTTGCCCTCTAAAGTGTTAGATTATATAGAATGAGCAGCATGTTTAATGCATTGAAACGGCTATTACACTTCTGGTAGTTCACATATTAAAGAAAATGATTTATGTCTCCACTCTATCCCTTTCTCTTGTTCTCTTGTTAATGCATGATCACTGTGTTTAATGAGACAGGTCTCAGAGCATGCGGTCAAACCCTCTCAGAGACTGTGCTGCTAGTTGGGTGAAGACAGCTGACACCCTCATTCATCATGCATCTACAGGGTGCTGCCTACTCTCTCTGTCTATATCTCTCACCCCCCACTTACACCCTCAGATGATAATTATTAAGACATTATAAAAATGACAAGAGCAGTGCCTTTTTCGAAGGGAAAGCCAGGGCATCAGCCACCTGCTCGGATGATTATAGCGGTGACGGAGAGTTGGCGTTCCGTGTTGATGCTGCAGGTGCAAAGATATCCAAGAATAAATGCAAACACCTACTGCACAGTGGCGTTCCTGGTGGACTCTCTGCAGCTTGAAGCACATTTACGTCTCTGCTAGCAGATTGGTGAAGTGCTGCCTCAAGCAAAAAAAAAAGCCCCAAAAGAGGGCCACCAAATTATTTAAAGAAGAAACTGAGGACTTATGTCAATAGTGAACTGTGTTTTAAATGTATTTATATTTAGATATTTACTATACATAATTATAAGCATTAACAATTTGAGCTTAAATTGTGGATCCCACTACGCCATATCAAAGCCACCATGAAATATTAAAATGTCACAGATGTAACTGACCCACATATAGTGAAGCCATGCATAATAAGTGCTCTTTTGATTAAAATATGTTAGCTTGGTAATAAAATGAAAGTATTCCTATCCGTCCTTTTTTAGATTGACTCTATTAAACACTGAGTAAGAGATCCTAACGTTGTAGTGCACTTTTACTTGAAGTAAAATATATTTTAATCTCGGTTTTGTTGTGCTGCCTGTCAGAGCAGTTAATCTTTAAAATATATTGGTCACGTTCTTTGTTTTCTTAGGGATGTTCTCTGTACATTTTAATCACATTATACTCACAGATCAGTTAGCCTGAAAGGACACCCGTCACAGGGATGTTTTTATTCTGGGCTGTCTGTCAAAATCTGATGCCAGTTTGAGTCTGAAAGAGGCATTTCTCTAAGAACCAGCCTCTTGGCTCTGCTTCCATGGAGAGCCTCTTGAAACAGCAGGGGGCTCGACATGTTGTTTCAGCTTTGCTAAAGTTGGTGGAAGGATAACACTCCAGCTTCCTGTGAAATGTGTTTGATGTGGTCTGCTTTGCTTTGCTTTGTTTACATATTTTCATGATTGCCACAAGTACCAACGGCACTGCATACACGATGTTTAGTAAGTTCATGGTAACTCCAAAAGTTGACTTTAACTTTAAATCATAAAGGAAACCATTCAAAAATCATCGTACTTCTCACCCACATTTTACCTGTCACCCTGTGAATATGCTCAGGTGTAAAGAAAACAATGTTCTCCCCTATAAACATTAAGGTTGTATCTCTGTTGCAAAAAATTGTCATTCTTTTGAAGAACTGATTTGAAACGTTACACAAAGTATCCTTTTGAACTTTTCAAGAGTACCTTCCCACATCATAATCCAACTCAACATCCATTTCAGACGAGATTTTGTAGGCAATAACAAATTCTCTTTGAAATACCAGTTACTTACCTTCTTACAGCTCTTACTATTTTTTTTGCTTTGGTCTATGAGACATTACATTTGTTTGCAAGAGCCACAGGTCGCTGATTAATGTCTCGTTAAATCTGTTGCAGTTTACAAATACCCTGCTTGTTATTCAGCCTGCTGCATTGAACAGGGACCAAAAAACCCACCAAAAGCCACATTTATTTCTTGATTTAACTGAACAAAAGGCAATGTCTTCAGGCTTCCTTCAACAGCACCATGCGTGCAATGTACATTCAGCCTACTTGCATCTGGGGACCCGGTGTGAGTGTGGGTGTGCGTCTGTGGACATGTTGATGATGTTTCTTATCTCAAAAATTATGACGGTGTGACAGAATAACCTCGGGGTTCGTAGGATGCCACTGACACTGTCTTTTACATGCATCTCTGCTAGCAACACATCACAGGCTCTAGTTGGCATCACAGCGGTTTGCCTTGCCACTCATCGGGGGTTTAATATTCAATTATAAGGGTCATCTAGTTCAAGCTGCGTTGGATTGCCTGGGAAACAGCCCCGCTGATTGATGAGTCAGCATCTTAGCTCTATAGGCTCACAGTTTTCTCCTGAAGAAACAAGGCAGATGGCTTGTGGGGGTGTTTCACTGACGTGGCAAGAGTTTCTTGTAGTGTTGCCTTATAAGTAGTAGAAACAACAGCATTACAAACATGAATCAGTATTTAGTCAGATCAAACTCTTAAGTGCATTTCTTTTTTAAATATCATGTATATGCACATTATTTTTCTGAAATAATATACCTTATTTTTCTTGTTTTTCCCTTTCAAGTAAAATGCATAAAACTTCAATGCATGTATGTCTAGGCTTTATACAAAATGAAGTATCAGGGGTGAAGGTTAAAGTTGTTTTGTTTTCAAATGCCTGCAGAAGGATACAGTGACAGTGTCATCCCACTGCCTTTTAGTTTGATGCTGTGACAGTCTGTCAAACTGTCACATGCAGCTGTGTCCAGAGAAGTGTAGGTCTTACAGTGTAGTGCTGACAATAACACGTAAAAATAAAGAGAAGCTGAGAGTGAGATAGGCATCACTTGGGGCCAGTGTCTGCCTCTCCTCTGTCCTCTCATGGCAGATAAGATATCCTGCAGTCAGGTATTTGGACCTTGCTGGTGGGCTGTTTCCCGGCTGAATGCTGGTCCAAGCTGTCGTTCAGATTAGCGCTATGAGCCTTTGCTGGGAGCGCAGTCCTGTCCTCGGGGGGCACAGCCGTTAGACAGATTTGCAAATCCCCAAGCATGTACACAGCCGCGCACACACACACACACACACACGCGCGTGCACACGCACACACACGTGCACGCACAACCCCCACCGAAGAATGGGGCAAGATCAACCCAGGTCATGGGAGACTCTTTTCAAATAAATTCCTCCTTCGGGAGACTGCTGTCTCCACCGTGCCCTTGCCTGCATTTATCTTCGAAAACACACACAGACTCACACATACACACAGTCAGATATCCTGACCCGTCCTCTAAAGACTGACAGCAAAAAAACTGACAATCGGTTGGCTTTCCAATGTTTATGGGTCACTGATTCTAAACTGCTGTTGGCTGTGTGTTGCACTAGCCAATGTGCCAACTGCCTGCTACATTAGATACATTAAAGCTCAATTTTATCAATAACAATTTTTTGCTGTATTCATATTAAAAGTATGTCTAGAATACGGATCATTGTACTGTAGGGCTGTCTCTTCATGCAATCAACTAATCATTCAAATACATCCATTGTTGTTCTGCTCCTATGCCATTAAAATATACTTCCATATTTGTAGATCGAAGCATTTTATAGGATATCTCTAATCTGTATTGGAATATTTTAGATGAAATTTAATTTATTCAGCATTTATAATGCAATTTATAAAAAGTAGTATACTGTTGGCAAGAATGTGAAATGTCATATTGGCACCGTTCTTATTGTCTATGCCAGGGGTATTCAACTAAAATTCAACGAGGTCCAGTTAGAGAAAATCTCCCCATGCAAAGGTCCGGAACATCAAAATGTCTAAGTTGCTTTATGAATTAGTGTGATATATTTAAGCAATAGCTCACGACAGGCCGTGGTATATGCTCATTATATCACAGCTAAGGGGCGTGGTTCGGCCCGACGCGAAGCTCTGTTTTCACTGTCCACTTTCCTCTTCTTGGAGAGCGCCATGTGTAATTATTTGTCTCTC